TCTTATCTTGAATTAGGCTTTCACCTAAGGAATAAGGTAAAAATCAAATCAAGAACAATAAATTTTGAGGTCATGGCCACGGAATTTTTCGAACTCCAAAGAATCTTCATAACCTTGGAAAAAACCACAATGAATGCGGATGAAACTTCAAGAATAGACCTCGATATTGATGAAAATTAGAAATCCAAGTAGCAAATACATTATCACCAAGAAAATAATGTAAAAAAAATCTCTCAAGAAAAGTGTGCACCAAGTAGGACTTTCTCTCACTTGGTTAAGAGCATCTCTCTCTAACTTACTTGACTGACTGAGTGAGAGCTATTTTTTTATGACTCAGGTGTCCAAGTTTCGCCCGACTAATTCTGAGGAGTGGTGGCCTTCCCCCCTGGTTCGGCACCCAGGTTAATCTGAATGCGGTCACAACTTATACACACTTGGGCCGTACATTCGGTGGTTCTCCTCCCCGTGAACCTTTGCCTTCCAACATAAATGTTGCCTTCCAACTACCACGGGTATTCGAACCTTCGATGCTCCGTAGAGAACCCTCGTGTTTTACCACTGCGCCATGCCCGTGGGGGCTACTAAGAGCTCTTTCTTGATTCTATGTGTGGTGGTGCATGGCTGTTGTTCTTTGATTTACTGTACATCAAATAGACATCAAGATTCAATTTTAATTCACCATCAAAATGGTTTTGTAGTTAGTCCTGGAATGGAAAACCTAGGGCTCAACTAGAAAACCTTTTTCTTCCTTCTCTACAAGCTAAGCCCTCAACCCGCACACAAAAGAGAAAATCAAAATATATGACAGCACAAGAACAAATAATGCAACAACCTTGTGTTCATCTATGCTATCTACAATCTATCATTGAAACATAGAAATGAATTCCAAAAGATTACGACAGGCAAATGTGAATCATTCTTTGATTTGTGTCATACTAGTATACATTACATCTTCCGTGAAATATGTATGAATATCAATTTGTGAGATTTTTTGTGGAGTTTTTTTCGATGGAGATGACCCACGTTCTATAATGAAATTGGAGCAAGATGCCAATGTGAATCTTTTTTTTTTTACTTTGTGAGATTTCTAAGGATTACATATCGCGTAAGATATGTAGGAAAATCAAATTGTGAGATATTTTTTAGGGGTTTTTTTTGGAAGAAGATGATTCACTTTCTACAATGAAGATGAACATACATGTTTTTAGGGTTTTCTAGATAATTCATACATAAAGGCTTGTTTGTAGGAATCAAAATGTATTAGTTGTAAAAGCGTGTTTGTAGGAGTAAAATATGTTACCTAATTTATTATGCTTTTGATTTAGAAAATCTTGAATGTTTTCTTTTTATTATTATTTTATAGTATTTATTGCAAAAAAAAAAAATGTTTACAAAGTATTTTTTTAATATTTACTAAATGTAAGGTGGGTGGCGCAATTTGACCTCAAAATATTGTCTCCACACAAACGACATGCTGCTTAAATGTA